TCTGGGCGGGGGGACAGTCACTGCCCTGGTCCTGCTGCCACACTGGGGCTGAGCCAGGCCAGGATGGGGGCTTCTTGGCTGCCTGGGCACAAGCTGCTCATGTTCAGCTCCATCAATCCAGGTCCTTTCCCATGAGCAGTTTCCAGCTGCTCTTCCCCAAGCCTGGAGTGTTGCAGGGGGTTGTTGCGTCCCATGGGCAGGACCCAGCACTTTGCCTTGTTGAACCTCATCCCATTGGCACAACCCATGGATTCAGGCTGTCCAGATCCCTCTGCAGAGCTTCCCACCCAACCTTGTGTCACGTGCAGATCCCCTCATCTAGATCATCAATGAAGATACTGATCAACACTGGCCCTAACACCGAGCCCTGGGTGACACCACCAGTGACCGGTCACCACTAGAAGTGACACCATTCACCACCACTCTTTAGGCTCGGCCATCCAGCCAGTTTCCAACCCAGCAACGGATCCTCCCAGCCAGGCCATGAGCAGCCAGTTTCTCCAGCAGAACACCGTGGAGACAGTGTCAGACACTTCACTAACATCCAAATAGCCACAGGCACCGCGGAGAGGATGGGAAAGCCAGAGGCACCGGATAATCCGGTCCCATAGTGAGTCCCAGGAGCTGGCAGGGAGGTGGCATCAAGCTGTGTCTGAAATGAGTCCCCAGGGACCAGCAGCCTCATTTCCAGGCAGGAGCATCTGCTCCTCTTGCTCAGCACAAGAAGCAGAGAGCAGGAGGTGATGTGATGCTGCTGCTCTTCTCTCCACGCAGTGATCTGGGGCATGAGAAGCAGATTTCATGTTAGTGTGTGCAGCTTAAATCACTGCAGGTTGTTTCTGCTCTGGTTTTTAAGAGGTCTCCATGGTCCATGCATTGTTATCAGTTCCAAAGCTTCCTGTTTGGGCCTTTAATAGAGGAATGATTTGGAAACGGATGGGAACTAGAGGGGGTTTGGGCATTGCAGAGATTTTCTTTGCATGGGTGAACAGATTTTGGCTTTCTTGGGGGAGTCACTGTCCAGGCAGGCAAGGGAGGAGAAACCCAGTGGCAGGAGCATATTTTCCTCGGTAATGAAGACATTCATGGCAATTGAAGTGCAGCCTGAAGAGAAGAAAAGAGGTACCAAGTGTTTCCAGGAGGTGCAGCTGCAACTCGAGTGTGAGACGTGGTTGGCTTTTTAGTTCTTTGAAGGCACAAATCCTGGTAATCCCCTTCCCAGCCCCAGTGGCAAAGAGAAGCAAAACGACTCCTTTCTGGTTGCTCCTGTACTTCTCCGTTGGCTGGTGAAGCACAAACGCTCTGCCTGCAGCACTGGCAGTGGCAGGTCAGGCGAGAAGGGCACCAGGTCTCTGCCCTTGGCTTTTGCAAGGACAAAACTGATGTTCTCCAGGGAAAGTGCACTTGGTCCAAGTGGAAGATGAAGCTTTGCCCTTGCAGGTTGCAGAGGTCCTTTGAAGGCTGTTGGTGGCCATGTCCTGTGCCCAGGAGCCATCTAGTGAGACCTGTAGGTATCACTGTGGACATGAAAGCTGCTGTCACCAAAAGGGAAGGTTTTGGGGGTTTTTGCCCCACTTCAGAAATCCCATTTTGTCTTTTTAGAAAGGAACTGCAAGAACAAAGCAGGAGGAAGCAGGAGGAGGCTTCTGGGGGTGTCCAAAACACTCAGCCCTCCCCCCCTGGAGTGAATACCTCCAGGCTCACATTGTAGACAAGAAAGGTGATGTTACAGGAGGAGATATCCAGAGGCGTGATGCTTGTGGGCTTGCATGGACGCATGGGTGGCTGGTGGCTGGAGGCAGGTAAGGGAGCTCTACACATGGAGGACAGGGAGGTGATTCAAGACAGCCAAGGGCAAGTCCTGCCTGACCAACCTAGAGGCCTTCTATGGTGGTGTAACTACATCAGTGGACAAAGGAAGGGCTACAAACGTTGTCTACCTGGACTTCTGTAAAGCTCTTGACCCAGTCCCCCACAACATCCTCCTCTTGGACTGGAGAGAGATGCATTTGATGGTGGATGAGGAATTGGCTGGTTGGTCACATAAAAGCAGCTGCATGGAGACCTCAGAGCAGCTTCCAGGGTCTGAAGGGAGCTACAAGGATGCTGGAGAGGGACCTTCATCAGGGACTACGGTGATAGGACAAGGGTGATGGGTTCAAACTGAACTAGGGGAAATTCGGGGTGATGGGTTCAAACTGAAAGAGGGGAAGTTCAGGTTAGAGATAAGGCAGAAGTTCTTCCCTGGGAGGGTGCTGAGGTTGTCCTGCACGTAGGTCGGGGCAACCCCTGGTATCAATACAGGCTGGGGGATGAAAGGATGGAGAGGACCCCTAAAGAGGAGGGCTTGGGGGTATGTATGAGTGAAAGGTTGGACATGAACAGGCAATGTGTGCTTGCGGCCCAGAAGGTAAATCATGTCTTGGGCTGCATCCAGAGGAGTCAGGTCAAGGCAGCAGGTCAAGGGAGATGATTTTGCCCCTTTGCTCTGGTGAGCCCCTTACGTGGAGTTGCTGCATCCAGCTCTGGAGTCCTCAGCACAGGAAAGACATGGACCTGATGGAGAGGGGCCAGAGAAAGCCACCAACATGATCAGATGGATGGAGCACCTCTCCTGTGAGGGAAGGCTGAGAGGGTTGGGCTGGGTCAGCCTGGAGAAGAGGAGACTTCTTAAGGGCAGACCTTGTTGTGGCCACTCAGTGCTTAAAAGGGGCCCATAAGAAAGATGGGGAGAGACTTTCCAGCAGGGCCTGTAGGGACAGGACGAGGGGTGATGGGTTTAAACTGAAAGAGGAGGTTGAGGCTGGATGTGAGGAAGAGATTGCTCACAAAGAG